ACATGTAGAAAACCAGATTAGAAAAATGAATGACACACTAGCATATGTCTAAATTAAAGACTCTAATGAAGTGTATGAACAAGTGCATGACACATCCTCTGATTAGCTAGAATGAACAACTTTAATACCAAACTTAAATTTACTGAATGCAAATCTACTGTTTTTAACAGTAGTGGAAGCCAACAAAATAAGAAACTAATTAAGCAGTGCAAGCATAAAGAAAGTTTAAAACAGATTATTCAAATGTTGAGGCTTCAGTTAATCAGTTTAAAACTATGATTAAACCTAGCGAGAAGTTTTCAAACCATCCAACTAAAAGGTCAAGTTTTTTGTTTATTATCTCTGTGTGGTATCACCATTTTTGTTCCAGAACACCACCATAACCTCCAAACAACCACTTCCAGCATTACAAACTCAAGACAAAGATTTCACATGGGGCGAAAGCAGAACAATACACTTCCAAGCATACCAGCCTCACTGTCACTGAAGTTTTAAAAGATATAATCACAAAAGAAGCAGGAACTTATGTAAGTTCAGCAACTTGTCCTAAAAATGAACAAAACCAAAATAATCCACAAAAAGCTGGACTGAACCCAGAACCCTGGAAGCAGGTTCCAGTCTGTTTATTACTCTCAAACTCAGGAAAAACCTTCACGAGGTAGATTCAGGGTTTTGCTTTCAGCAATACCATTCACTGCTCTTAGGAGAGCTCTAAAGACCAGTAACTCAATCCAGCAGTTTGTTATCTCTTGATCTTATGGTTTTTTAAGTGTCACATTACAGATCTTAAACACCTTTAAAAGACCAAAATGGGCTCAAGAACAAAATATATATAACTCCAAGACACTGCACTAACACGGTCCCATTTCCTCTTATGTCAGACTTGTGGTTGAGGTTGCTACAATAAAACACAGGCTACGATCAAGGCTTCTTAGAGACACAGTATGACCTCATTCTCTTCCATATGTATTTTTCTAAGATCTAAGACGACCTAAGAGGACCAAGCTCACACTGCAGCCTTTTGATAAAAAGGATGTCTTTTCTAAAGTTAAAAAAAAAAAAAAAACCAACAAAAAAACCCAAAACCAACCAAAACAAACAGAAAGCCCCAAAACAAACCACCAGAAACTTTTAGAAACAAATTTACAAGGGATTCATCTCCAATTAGTACACAGCCTCTTCTCACAGTCACCAGAGAGAAGGCTAACTTGTACAATACCATGCACTTCATCCATGTCAGATGAAGTGCCATTTGAAAAGGTGATGAATCACCCCAGAACAAGCAGCTTCTGACTGTAAAGACAGTTCAGACTGAAGCTGCACAAATTAATCCACCCCAACCTGCGAATGGTCATTAATACAAAAATTACTCCAGGATGGACTGGGAGAAAAGGAGAAAAATGGAGAAAAACAGGCAGTGGGACTTTTAAAACTTTAACTCACTAGAAACCCATCTGCAAACTAACTACCATTTGCAATCCCATGTCATTGCTGTACACGTTTAGACAGCTTCCTATTTCCAGGCCACTGCACTCCAGGTAGAGGAAGTCCACTGCTTGGCCCGGCAGCTGGTCTGGCAGACACAGGCAGCTCCTCAGCTGACTCACCATGCAGCAGCTCTGATGCCACACATCCATGACCATAAGGCAAAGTCCTTCTCAATCATTACAAATGTAAGACCCACGTCACATGAGCCCAGTCTGAGCCTCCAGCACTCAGGTTGGCAACACCTGACTCAGTTAACACAGGTCTGGTCATGCTCTCAGGAAACACAGCAAACATTGCAACATCACAGAAACCTCGTTCTTGGAACTTAGGTATGCTGAAGCCCTGGCTAGAGCTATACTGTCCTTTGTAAGGCTTAGGTAGTGACCTACCCTACCAGGAAGCTTTACTCACTGGGAACACAGAGATCTCTGCAGGGTTTCTGCAGAAAGCAGGGACAGAGGGAAACCAGTGGGCTCTGACAGTTACACATGTTGTTCTGAAATCTTTTTTGCTCACCTATTTCAAGTGGACAACACCAGGTAACAAAGTCACAACACATCCCAAGTGAATTAGAAACAAAGTTTGTTTACTCAATACTGTTTTATGCAACACAGAAAGCTGCTTGCATCAGAGGTTACCTGCAGTACTGTGAACTGAACAGAGGTTTTAAGGAGGGATTTAACTTCATGGAGGATGGGGAAGAAGGAGACAAGTACAAACCAACCACCTATTAACTAACCATAGATGGTAAAATTAGTCATAGTGAAAAATCAAACTTGTCACAGCTCCACTCGCAATGTTTACAGAACTTCTCACAATATGGGGATTTAGAAACAGGACAGGAAGCAGCAGTCAGCTGAAAACTGGAAGAGCCTTGCCCTCTCATTTTTCCTGTGACTTGTCAACTGCACAAGTCACCACATTTATAAAGAACTTCATTGTTAACTTCTTGATACTCACTTTGGGTGGAAGTCTGCTGAGCAAGGCAAGCAAGAAACTTTTTCCCTGTTCAGTACCTGCAGTCCAATCACAAGGGTGCAAGTCCATATTGCTTCTTACTGTAATATGAACTTACTGCATATTCTGGACCTTCAGAGGAAGACTCCAGAGATTTAGCTCAATGTTTCAGTGCTGTGGAAGTTAAAAGGTGCTCTAAAGAAGCAAACTCATTTTTGCTCATTCATGTTTCCTTTCTACCACTGCCTTCATCTATGCAGCTTCTCCCAGCGTATCCCATATCTTTCTTACCACATTTTTGTTCGTTTCCAACATTAAAAGAGTGCCAGCATTAAAAAAATAAGCCTTTGATTTGACTTTTCTTTCTTCTGTGACCTTTCCAGCCTAATCCTGAGTGCTTGAGAACCTATGCTGCCATTCTGCATACAGGCACAACTACACAAAACCAAGGTAGCTTCAAGTTCTTACTATGAGGTGATAGAAGGTTCTGATGTTCAACTAATGCTGAAGGAATAGGAATGTTCTATGAAACCAACTGCTTTTCCCATTTCTGAAAATGTGAATAAGAAATTAAGCAGGAAACCTAACTTCTGCCCTGAAACAGACAGGACAACCAGATAACTTTTCTGGATTTTTGCCTACATGACCCCTGCAAAAATTTTACTACCAGTGACATTCAAGAGCATCTTTAAAGAAGATTTAAGCAACTGATAATTCAACTAAAGTCAATAATATGGTATGGATCAATATAATTTCTGGAGAGATACTAAATTAAAAAGGAGAATAAGAAAAATCTACAGAATAAAGTAGAAATTAATTCTAAATAATTCAACTCCATATTGTCACTTGCCCTGCAGAGGTAGCCCAGAAACACATTTTAAAATAGAAATTAAAATCTACACCGCTATTGCCATAGCTACCTGTACAAAATTCTAACAGAAGGGATTATTTCTTTAAAACTGGGAGGTTGAGCAAACAGCATGAGGGAACAGTGATCCTAGCAGCGAGTGCCCTCTCTAAACTCAGCTGGACAAGCTCCACTCTGCTGCACTTTTCTCTGCCAGAAGCTTTGGTACAATACTGAGTGACTTACTATACCCTTGATATCCTGGCTAATCTGAAAATAATCATCGTGGAGAAAGAATAAAGACTGTGGAACAGTGACAGCAGACGTTGCTCTTCAATGGCTGGGGCTCCACACAGTTTACAGGAGCAATGCAGCATTTACATTCCATGGTAAACCACATGGGGAAAAAACAAAAAAAGTGCAGCCTGATGCTCTGAGGCAAACACCTCCACACCTTCATAAGCAAGTTAGGCAGTCATTACAATACAAGAGGTCTTATAGGAACAGTGTTATTCCATCAGTTTCCACAGACCCCTTATCATTACACTCACACCTCACCAAGGGTCTTATCCAGTTCCCAGTGAGGACAATGCATCTGCTTCAGACTGGAGTGCACCAGCAGCTGCTCTCAAATACGCTGCTAAGAATGCACTGGCAGTTACTGGCTCCTCTGCGCCATGCAAGTGTGAGCATGAATTACAGGTAAATTAGTCCTGCTCCACAAAAGCTCATTAATAAAGCAGATTCAATCAGTACCACAGAAAACAAAACTCAAAAGCAAGCAAAGCAGCACAAGGAGGGTTTCAAAAAAGCAGAATGACACTGTGAGATCACGAAACACTCAAATTATTATCAGTAATACTAGCAGCCCAATCAAACAGTATTTTGGGTTGATTTGGTTTCACTATTTTACATACCAGTTGAAGGTATCTGATCATCAGAGTTCTCATTCACCTAATTAGCTGGTGGACATGCTGAAAAGAGTAGAAAGCAGTAGATAGGTAGCAGTACTTGAGCAACATTTATAAAGGAACTGAAAGCAAATGAAGGAGAAGATTACTGATCTTTTTCTCCCCCCAAGTCAAAAACTGACTAGGGTCCTCCTCTCCCCAACTCAAAAAGGAAATGTAATTTCACTACTTATAGCGGTAGTTTTCATTAGAATCTCTCAAACAGTGCAATGTCTGCAGAGTTACAAAGGGCAGGAGAGATTCCTGTTTGTACATAAGGTCTAATACTGTGTGACATGCATTGCAAAAATATACTACCTACTTTGAAAGCAGATATTTTGTTAGTCCAGAGTTTAAAACTTGGAGGCATTGTCAGTGCTTAATTCACATAAATCACTGAAATTTACAAGTAAATGAACTATAAGATAAAGTCCAGGCCCAAATTCTGCCAAAGGTTTGATTTAGATTTTCCCAAAATGGACACACAAGCTAAAGCACGTTGCTGACTTACGGCCAAGAGTTATCACAAAATTTCCATTTTCAAGCTTTTCTTTACAAGCCAGCCAAGTTTAAAAACCATGGACTAAAACTCCATAATGCCTTTAAGTTTAAACTACAACTACACAGACCATACCCAGTAGGATTTTCTACAGCACACATCTTTGTCCCAACTCTGCTCCAATCAAATCACTTGGAGAAACACCTTCAACTTCACCCTAAAATCAGTGTATTTCAAGTACACATACACGGTCCTTTACCTTTAATAACGAAGGCTTCAGTTATCAAACGCAGCACGTACAAAGGTTCATCTTTGGTTGAGAGGTCATCAATTCCTGCTTTTGCATACATGCTGATGGCATCTCTGTAGCATCCCTCCACATAATGAAGCTTTCCTAGGATCAGCATAGCTTCAGTCATATACTTAGGCTGAAACAGAGGAGGGAGAGAAGAAGAGTGTTTACGTGATAAAATACCGGACAGCAAAAACGAGGTACTCCAGAACAAATTAAGCACATTCAGAATGCCTTCCTCTCACAACTGCTAGCTCCACACACCAGAGTAGGAAGGAATTAAGTGTCTAGAGATCTTAGGGCTGTTCTCATGATAGCAGCAGGCAACAAAGGTCAGACAACCACTTTGGAGCTCCATTTAGAAACACTCAGTTCCAAGCCACCTCTTCGGTTTATGCTGACCTGATCTGTGGCTGGTGAATCGATGGACATCACATAAAAGGCTGGCATTGTCAGAACTACCTACACACACACACAAAGAAAACCTCCTGCTTTTAAACTAAGCAGAAGGCATGACTTTTTAGCCAAGTGTTCCCCTCTCCTCTGTACATTTAATTAAACAGTGAGAAAGCTCTCCAGTTTTCTTAAGCTGTCAAAGAATTTTCATGCAACAGTAGAAAAACAGAAGGCACACCAGCTATTTCTAAGATTTGTTTCCTTTAAGGTCTGAAAACACATCTAACAAAAACCTCAGTAAAATACATCTGTTCAGACCCTTTGGAAAGCATGAAAAAGTTCCTAAGCCTTCATACCCAATTTTTTAACATATGTAATCAACACAAGGTCAATGTTGCACGAGCAGCTAAGTCACCACAAAGAAACAGTAATGGCAAGTCATGCAGCCAAACTAAACATGAAGACCTGGAAGAATTCAGTAGTTCTGATTGCTGATGGAGTTAAACTATAAAGAGGGTTGGACAGACTCCTCTTCCTTACTCCCTCCATTTCACTTCTAAACAGGTTGACTTTCAAGAAAGTAAGAAAAAGGAACTCCTCCAGAAAAGTGACTGCACACTTGGCTCCTCGGAAATTAACAAGTATAATACACATTTCAAAGCCAACTAGCCTGTCAATTTTGAACCAAAAGTAATACAAGTCTAGAACAGACCTGTAATTCATTTACTTCTAAACCCAGTTATGAAACTGTGCGTCCAAGGAGTAGCACCAATCGAGGCGTCCAACAGCAGCAGCCATCGAGGCAGAGAATTAAAACACTCTTGAAGCTCTGCAATTGAGCTGACAAGCAGCCATCAACCATGAACCCAGACCACAAAATAAAAGCATAGCTTCTCTGGCAGAGACTGAAAGTAGTGCAAGGCTGTAATGCTGGAGTCACAACACAACCCTAAATTCCTGACAGCAACTCGCAGCACATTTTTGTCTGATCTGGAGCTGACGAGGTATACACAACTCCCTCAGAGCAGCAGTAGAAGCATGTCACGTTATGTGACCACACCCCAACACCCCAGAAAAATGCTAAATATTTATCCTGCTTCTTTCTAATGAAAAAAAAAAACAAACCCAAAAGAACCAAAACAGGATATGTACTTGTAGCACACTATTTACATATGAAAAAGCAAGTCTTGAAACAGAAGATACTGCCAAGGGGGATTAGCAGCCCCTTAGTAAGGCCTACAATACAGTACTGTACATACAGGGACATGAACAGGCAACAACCACACCCCGTATCAGACTAATAATCATATGAAAGAAACATCCAGTTGGCAGGAATTACGATGACAGAGCCCACTTACTCTTAATTTTCCTCTGCTTAAGATATTGGTCAGATACTGTTTAGCTTCACTCAGTTTTGGTTCATTCTTCTCTGTCAGTGGAATGGAGTCCTTCAGTTTGGCAAAGTTTTCCTTCAAACATTCTTCCAGCAGAACCTCCGCTAGCAGCATACTCCCGTGGTCCTCTGAAAGCACACACCAACCAACAAGAAACATCGCTTAGTGCTGTACTGATGATAAACAGAATCACAAAAAAAACCCGCACCTTTGAGACACATAAAGGGCAACTCAAATGAGGGGATAAGGAAGAAATGGTAGACACACAAAAAAATTCCATGAACTTCTGTCTATTGGAAACAGTATGTTTCCTAAGAAGAAAAATCAAACTACACTTCCTGGTAACTTGAAGACTTTTCCCTAATGAATCCTTTCAATTTAGTAGCACCACTCATTCTTGCATTGCCACTAATATAACAGTTCATAATTTTCATCACAAAACTCACTTTCAAAAGTGTAAGACCAATCTTTGCAAACATGTCAGTGCATGCTTTAGATTTACAATTGTACAAGCATGAAATGAACACTTTGGACTACACGGAAGCTATGAATTTCACTGCAGAACAATAACAAATTTACCTGAAAGTTCACAGAAAAAAGACAAATTAGACACTAAAGACACACAAGGCTTGATCCTCTGCCACAACTAATGTGCTACAGTTCTACAGAAAAGAAACTCAAACACAAGTAGCAGCACTGGATACAGCATGAAGCATCATGCAATATGGCAATCACGTGCTGAAAAGAAAAAAGTTTCATCTGTCACAATACTTTGATTTCTTGCATGACGGGCCCAGTTCTGCAGTTCACTTATTCATATAAGTAGTACCTCAATCAGTGGGCTACCGGGTCAAGTAGGGTAAGAAAATCTTTGTGTATGAAAGAGCCAAGCCCTACATTTCATACATACTCCATGTCTCAAAGTCTGAAATTCTAGAATGCAGGAAACACAATATAGTGTACCTATTTCTATATTTTCAGGCCACGGGACAATTTATCCTCACTTTCCACCTATATACTACATATAGCATTAATAATCAAATCTGTGTGTGGGAATGGTGGTGGTTTACATTTTTTTGTCGTTGTGGCCTAAGTGTTCAGCTGCATATTAAATTATAACGATAGCTCTTCCTGCTCATTTGTAGGTCTGCAACTAATTCACATAAACAAAGTACAGGTACATAAAATGGGAAGCATAAATGTGCAAGTATATTCCACCCTAAACTTGCATGAAATAATTTCTACACACTAAAGACCTTTCAGGTAGTCGTTAATCTCTTAAACTTAAGGAAACAGGTAAGACAATTAAGAAATAAATACACACAATCTCACAAAGCAAACACTACTATTAAAAAAATCTAATCCAGGCAGACAATGGTTTCTAGAAGCACAAAACTGTACCCAGTCCCCTGCTGAAAGAAAAGTTCTGTAGCAATAACAAAGCATTACTCTTTCATAACTAGCAAGTTATGATGACATAGCAGCACATTAACAAATCCTGTTTTTACAGCAATTACACTGTTGTTATGCCTCTTAATTACAAGGGAAGAAACTACTATGAACTCTTCAACTATTAATGCCCCCAAACTGCAGGGAGATCTCTGCACCTGGGAAACACTGCTGAAACGCAACTGCAGTTCAAAGGTTGGCCCTGTGGTTATCAGCACAGGGTTCATCCTGCATCATGTACCCACCTGGAAAGCCTTACAAATAAACATGTCTTAAGCTACCAATATCTCCCCCACCATGCTTCCCCCTGTGAAGTTTAAGGCACTTCTGGCAAGCTTCAATTAACTCTAGGGTCACATCGCAGAAACACTCCTCTACAGAAGGGCATTATTCCTCTGACTTCAGCGGCAGAACCCTTTGTAACAGTGCCGTGGGTAGGATCAGGTCCTTTTTGTAACTTACTTACTGACCACAGACACAGATTTTTATATTTCCAGGTTAGGCTTCCTCACTTATTGCTAGTGATTTCATTTTTAAACAGCAGCAAAGTAGTGTGTTGTAACAAGGGGGAAAAAAAAAACCCAAAACCAAAACATTTGCTATTTATGAAACCTATTCTACATGTGAAAGGGTACTTGGACGAGCCCAAGCCTTTTAAATAAAGCAGTGCCCTTCAGAAATGGAGGGAGGTAACACAAGGGCATCCAGAACAGAGTTGGGCAGGGGGCAAGAGGGAACGAGCACAACACGTATGGAGAAGCTGCAGACGGCCGTTTCCAAACCGGGCAAGTTTTGGTGGGTGGCCCAGCCGGGCTGGTAGCACCAAGGGCCGGCTCGGAGCGGGGCAGCCGCCACCTGTGCCCGGTGCTGACCGCGGCGGGGGCGGCATCACGAGCGCTCGACAGCCGCTCCTCGCCGCCCGACGGGCTCGGCAGCGCTGACACGTAGAGGAAGCGCGATGTGATGTCCCCGAGCGCCGCTTCCTGGGCTCCCCAGCCCTCTCCCCGGCATCCCTCCTTCTCTCCCGCTGCGAAGCCGGGACGCTGACACGGGACACCGGGCGACACCCCGCACCTCAGCGCTCCCCAGCCCGCTCCCGCAACCCCGGGAGCTGCGGGGCAGCCGCAGCTCCCGCCCACGCCAACCCGCCGAGCCGGCGCTGCCGAGCCCGGGCGGCGGCACGGAGCGACCGTCCAGCCCCACCGCCGCCCCGCGCCCGGGCGGGTCGGTACCGGCGGCCGCCCCGCCCGCCCCCCGCCGCTTACCGGCGTCCTGCGCGCCCCTCGCCGCCTTCGCCTTGCGCGGGGGCCGCGCCGGCAGCAGCTGCTGTGCGAGGAGCCAGAGCCGCCCCCAGAGCCCCTCCGCCCGGCACCGCTCGATCTCCGCCTCCAGCTTCACGTGCGAGTGCGAGCCCTTGGCCGCCATCTTAGCGCCGGGACGGACGCGCCCCGCCCCGGCCCGGCCCGCGGGGTGTCCCCGGCGGCAGCTCCCGGGAGGCGCCGGCGGGGCCGCGGATCCGCCAGGTGCCGGGGGCGGGGGCGGGCGGGACAGCGCCCTGCCCGAGGGCTGCGGCCGGCTACGGCCGCCCCTCCCTCCCGCCTGTCTCCTGGCTCCCGGTGCGCGGAGCCGCGTCCAGCCGGGCGGGCGCTGTCCGGGCGTTGCGGGGGTGACCCCGCGCCCCCTGCAACGCGCGAGCAGGGCCGGGGGTGCCGCTCACCCACCGCGGCCCGCGGGAGTCCCCGAAATCCCGGGGCTCCCTGCCGGCTGCACCCACGGCCACTGCTCCCTCCTGCAGGTTCGGCACAGAACCCCCGAGTGGTGCAGGAAGGAGCCGAAAGCCCGCCCGGCTGCCCGGGCCCGGGGTTTGCTCGGGGGTTGTAACCTCGGGAGACCTGGGACGTTCGGTGCGAGCGGGAGCGCAGAGCACGCAGTGTTTATAAACCACAGTGGGCACCGGCGACAGGGCCCGAGGGTTTCCCAAGGGAGCAGCGGGGTGGGGAGCCCGCAGTCCTTTATGGACGGGGGTGTCTGAGGGGTGTGTGGGGGAAGTGCCTGGAGCAGGAGTGGCCGAGGACAGCCCTAGGAGCAGGACACACTGCCCCACTGTCCCACTCATTCCCAGCTGTGCTTAGGAAGTAGGGCATTGTCGGTGAGATCCCCGCAGTGCGCCCTTTGGAAGGGAGTTCTCTACATCGGGGGCCGGGGCGGCCGAGGCCCCGCAGCACCCGCACAGAATCCTATAATGGATGAGTTTGGAAGGCACCACAGTGGGACATCTGCTCCAGCCTCCCTGCTCAGGCAGCGTCATCCTAGAGCAGATGGCACAGGACTGCATCCAGATAGTTCTTGAGTATGTCCAGTGAGGCAAACACCACCTCTGTGGACAACCTGTTCCAGTGCTCGGCCAACCACAGAGAAAAGTAGTTTTTCCTCAGCTGAGTTTTTTCCTCAGTTTTATTCAGGTGAAACTTCCTGTGCATCAGTTTCTGTCCATTGGCTCTTGTCCCATTGCTTAGCACCACCAAGAAGAGCCTGGCTCCATCCTCCCTTTAGATAGTTACAGACATCGATGGTGTCCCCTCTCAGTCGTTTCTTCTCAAGGCTGAATAGGCCCATCTCCATCAGCTTTTCCTCTCAAGAGAGATGCTCCAGTCTGTTCATCATCTTGGTTGCCCTCTGCTGGACCTGCTCCAGGAGCTCCGTGTCTCTGTGTACTGGGGAGCCCAGAACTGAACCCAGAATTCCAGGTGTGATCTTACTGGGGCTGAGAAGAGCGGCAGGATCAACTCGTTTCACCGGCTAGCGATGCTCTTCCTGATGCACCCCCGGATGCCCCCGGCTTTCCTTGTCCCCAAGGCCGCGCTCCCGGCTCGCCGCCCCTCAGCACCCGCAGGGCCTGCCCCGCGCACACGCGGTGGGCGGGACCCCGCCGCACCTGCGCCGCCGCGAGGGCTCCACGTGGAGCTCCGCGAGCGGTGACGTCGCTCCGCGGGGCGGGGCTGAGCGGCGCAGCCAATGGGAGGGGGCAGGGGCGGGCGCGCGGCGGGTCAGGGGTGATCCCGGGATGGTGTCCCGGGAATGGTGTCTCTCCCGCGCCCGTCCCGGAGCCCGCGCCACGGCCCACGCCCGCCCCACGGTGCGTATCTCGGCAGCGGCGCCTCTCCGCCCGCCCCGGCAGCCGGTACTGGAGGGCGGTGTGCTGGGGCCTGGGCGGGGGGTGGCCGGCCCGGCTCCGTCCCGATGCGCGGGGGGGGGGGAGCTTTCCCGGGGGGTCCAGCCTGATCGGGAGCCGGGAGTGGGAGGCGGCTGGCGGCCAGCGCCGTGCCGGGAAAACAGGGGGTCGCTTCAGCTGGGGCTGGAGCACAGAGGGGCCGAACTCCCCAGCCCACTCCTGGACTCCCCGCGGCCCCTCTGGAGCGCTGCATCCCGTCACTTCTCCGAGAAGGGAGCGTATGCGAGGCTGCATGACGTTTTCCAAGCTGTACGTTCCTTAGGGCATGCAGTCTTAACAGAGATACTAATGTGATGCGGCTGCTTCGATGCCGTAAGCGACCTTTGCTCCCATGGCTGCGGGGCAGCTCTGCCTGAGCCTGGCGTGGCTGGTTGTCCAGACCGTGCATGAAAACACAGCCGCAGCTGAGGAGTGCGCATTTGCTGTGGGGGAAAAAAAAGTCATTATCTGAAAATTACTGTGTATTATTGCATGATTCCGTCAAATAGGGACCCTCATAGAAATCTGTAATTGGAGCTCCCTGGTTTTCTGCTTGCCAATGGCTTGAAATGAAGCAAGTTCTTCTATTCTAAAACTCAGTGGGGTTGTTTCTAAGTACTTGGTAAATATGCTGAAAGTAGATCACATTTTTCATCTGAGATTCGTTGGTGGGGTTTTTTTTGTGGATGTTTTCCTTTTTGTAGGAGATCACAATGGCCCAAAGGTTGTTTAGATCGCATTTGCTGTTCTGCTTTCTGGCTGCATTCTTCATCTCTGCCCTTGCTGAGGAACACGCAGGAGAGAGTCAACATGCAAATATTCGCCTTGATAAGAATTTGGTACAAGATAAAGAGTATGTGTTCCATGTTCTAAAAACGTAAACTTTACTTCTTAATGATTTTCTTATCTCTGAAGTCTTGTTACGTTGGACTTAAGCCTAGGGCACCCTGTTTCCTCGAAATGTTGTATGACCAGCTAAAGCCAGGTATGAGACATGCTTGCTTGATAAATTTGTAGAGATATGAGACCTAGAAAGGTCTCTTTGGAACCTTTAGCCCTACTCATACTATAAAGAATTTCTTACAGAGGTCCTGCTTACCCAGATCAGCGTACTTTAGACAAAATCATTCTTAACAGGTTGAGGTTTTTTTCTCATTTTCTTCTTCATACATGCAAATCAGTTCCAGCAGCAAATAAAACTCCGTAGAACACTTCATGGTTGACTGGGAAAGGTCTTTCTCCAGCTCCTGTGCTTTGGAAGACAGCCAAAAGGAGATTTTGGGCACTGCTTCTATTGTTTTGATGGCCTGCTAAGTAGGCCAGAAGAAACAGAAATAGCTATGTAAGATGTTAAAGGCTACTACAGCACCTGTAACAAACAACCTTTGTGCCCCGTTCATCCTAAACCGTAGCTTTTAGTTGTCCAGGGTGCTTTTAGAAGAACAATATTCGATCAAAGACTAAATTTGATGTAAACAAAGCATGAAATATTAACTGAAACAAATGTTGTAGATTTTATTTGTCTTTGGGGTTTTTTTGTTTTTCTTAGGCACATCATGGAACACTTGGAAGGTGTCATTGAGAAACCGGAAACTGAGATGTCTCCACAAGAGTTGCAGCTCCATTACTTCAAAATGCACGATTATGACGGCAATAATTTGTTAGATGGGTTAGAGCTCGCTACTGCTATATCACATGTCCACAAGGAGGTAGGTACAATTTTGTAAGGGCATTTCCGTGTGTTTGGAAACGGTTCTGACTCTAAAAGCAACTTAAAACAGAACGGAACAGTTGCAACACATCTTCAGTGTAGTTAAAGTTTTGCCTGAAAATGAGCTATATTTCTTTCCCCCAGTAGTTCTAGTTGGAACTACTAGCTTTATCACAACTTTTCATGTCACATTGTGGTTTTCAAGAAGTCTCCATTGTAGTTTAAACTTTAGAATGAGGAAGGGCTGTAAAGTGAAAATTATTTTACAGAGGGCTTGCTTTGGTATGCAGGGATGGGGAGAAAGGGAAGTTATCCAAAGTAGGGCATGAGGATTTACAGAAATAGCATGTGATGTGACGCTGTTTTCAGTTTCAGACTGTCACTGCTGTGGATACACAGACTGTAAGAGACCTCTTGAATAAAGTTAGTATTAGAAGAACCAGTTATGGTCTGCCTCTTTCTAAACAAATTCTCATTACAGCTATGAACATTTAAGGACAAAGTAGGAAGATACAGCCATTAGGAAGACAATATGAACACATTATCTCATACTGATCTTCTGGAAGTTACAATTCAGAATAGCATAACTTCGTGCATACACCACACCTGTGGCAAAAAATACTGAGCCAAGAACAGAATAATGACTGGCTGTTTCTTGTACAAAGGCACCTCTTTGTCTTCCCATTTCTTTGTAAAGGGCGTTTCTAAGAATTTTATTGGCTTTAAGCTACAGTGCTAGATTTTTTCACTACTCTGTTACTGTAAGATGTTTCTATATTTTACAGAAACTGTAGTGTCTATACTACATGAACATCCAGAAAAGAATACATCTCTTAGATGATTATCTATCATTATACATTGTGCTATTCAGCTTTTGGAACTTTTGACTAAGAATATTAACTGCAAAGAGAGTGCTTTTTCTGAAGTCCAGAAAACTTGGACTTCGTAGCTTCCACCTTAAAAAGTTGCTTATATTGATATAAATGTTTACATAAAACTTAGTGCCAAATTAGGCACCAAACATGAACAGCTTAATAAAAATTAGTTGTCAGTAATCTGTTACATGTGCCAATAGGTTGGAAAGACCTCTAAAACTGTTCAACGTGGTTTTGTTTTTGTAGGAAGGTGGTGAGAATACCCAAGCAATGAAAGAAGAAGAGCTGATTAATCTAATAGATGATGTCTTGAGAGATGATGATAAGAACAATGATGGATACATTGACTATGCAGAATTTGCAAAATCACTGGAATAAGGTTTTGCAGGATGTTTGTTTCTCCTTCTAACCACGTGGAAATGTGAACCAGTATAATGTGATTCTTTACTGTCTGATATCAACCTCTGTGCTGTGAGAAGGAGAGGTGTACCAGTTCCAGCTGAATTTATTCAAAAGTTGTATGTGTTAAAAGACTGGTTAACCTGGAGTGAGAGCCATGTTTGACTAAACACAGCTACACATTTGAATCATGAAGCATGGAAGTGTCAACAGTACTCACATAAGTTACAGCTGGCAAACTCCTAAGTAGCTCTGTATGAATACTAAATAGAATCATTAGCATCTAAATTTCAAGTTTTCAGTCATTGGGTTATATAGTACTTATTTGCTTACGTCTTCTTCCATTTAAAATTATAAAATAGCTAGAAAGCAAGAAATGATTACTGCATATAATTGTACTCCCAAGGATAAATGTCCTTACCTTCCTTCTAATTTACAAGGAAATTTGCAGATAAGTACACAGGTGCTTGAAACAGCAATTGCAGGGGCAAAGCATTTGAATGTGCATTACATTTGAGTTCAGATGATACCGTATGAACTTAAACACAGTCTTTGAAGAAACTGAGTGTTTTCAAATATATGTACTTCCTAGCATACCCTTACATATAAATATATATACATGTGTTTTTCAATGTCTTGTCCTCCACAAATTTACTCTTTGTATCTTAATTTACTGATTTTTTTTTCATCAACCTTCCATATTTTCTTAAGAAAATGAAAGTATTTTTATTGTATTTATATGTTGTATCCCATCCTTCAGGGGTGTTTAGAAGGTCATGTTAACAGTAAAGCAGTTTAATACTAAAGCTTCAATTTGGGTTTTACAGTATTAGCCAGCAGAATAATCTAAATAAGCAAGTAACGCTGCCTTGTTAAGGTTTAAGTCCATATTCCTTGACACTTAAATTATGGTATTACTTTCAGGAGGTATTTCATAACTTAACAGTTTCAAGATACTTGAGTATTTGCAAATTATCATGGCTCTAGGAACGTTTTTACTGTTTTGACTCTTATTTGGTAAGTCAAACAGTTTAGGGATATTAGAGCAGTGATGTATTGCTGTGTTATTGATGTTTGGTGACTCAGACATAACTGAAATCTTAAATTGCATTCAATCATTATTCATTAATAAAGAATCTAAATGTTAGCCTATTTCTGTAAAATGTATAAAGAGCTATTTTCTATACAAAATTATTCTTATACAAGAGAAACACGTTTGTAAAAGAAATTATTTCCTCTGTTTAAATGTTTGTGCAATGAATCATGAGTGTCAGATTTTTTTTTTCTTGTGGTAATTCTTTGTTTTGAAATCTTTGTGGCCAAGGTTGTGCTGGTTGTACAAGCAGTAAAATTAAGTTGGGGTTGTGCAAGCTGGAGATAGGTACATTTCTCACTAGGACTTCTAGCCTTGTGTATCCTAATTTGCTGATGTGTTTCTAAGCCCAGCTCTGTTACTCCCAGTCACCTTAATAGAGAATTCTTTCTGTTACAGCTGAGGGTTTTTAAAATATCTCTTCTGATAGTGATTAATCTGGATTGAATGTTGAATCAGAAAAAAGTGTAGTAAATGCTAGTGAGTAGGAGGGCAGAAGAGGTTAAGCTCCTAAGCTTTGAGCATTTAAAGCAGGTTGCCTGTAGACCTGCCAACTCTTATATGCTTATTGTTACTGCAGTTTAACCCCACCTGGCATCTAGGGAACACCCAGCCCCTTGCTCACTCTTCCCTGGTCAGTGGCGGGAGAGAATCAGAAGAGTAAAAGTGGGAAAACTCATGGGTTGAGTAAAGACAGTTTCATAGGTAAAACAAAATCCATGCACGCAAGCAAATCAAAATAAGGAATAAGTCCTTCACCACTTCCCGTGGGCAGTGGATGTGTGGAGAGCAGAGCTCCATCATGGTTACTCGGGAAGACAAATGCCATCAGTCCCCCCACCCCTCTTCCTTGTTCCCTCTCAGCTTTATATGCTAAGCCTGACACCATCTGGTACAGAATATCCCTTTGGTCAGTTGGAGTCAGCTGTCCTGGTTGTGTCCCCTCCCACCTTTCCGTGAACCCACCGCCTCCTCCCTAATGGGGTGGAAGGCAGAAAAGCCCTTGACTCTGTACAAACTCTGCTCAGCAGTATCGAAAAATCCCTGTGTTATCAACACTGTCTTCAGCACAAATCCAAACCACAGACCCATTCTAGCTCCTGTGAAGAAAATGAACTCTATCCCAGTCAAAATCAGCACAATGCATAAGGCTCTGAGTTCTGGGTTTCTTTGGGATGATCAAGGAACTGACTTTTATGCACTGCTCTTAGAAATCGTGGTTTTCTTATGAAGTGCAACCCACCTGTAAGGTACATTTATATACATATGTTGTATTTATATACATGTTTATCAACTGCTGTTGCATGTGGCGAAAGACATGCACCATAAAAGCCTTATATTTGAAATTATTATGATAAATGCAGGTAATGTGAACATTTTTTGCCAACTATTTAAACTTGTTTTTAAGGGTTTAGAATGATGTATAAATAGAAAAATATTTTACTGAAATGGGAGAACAAAATTAGTACCTTTGATTTCATGATACATGAAGAAAGATCAAAATAAAATTTCTGCTTTCCTAGAAACAGCAGTTTAAGAAATGTTACCCAGGATGAAACCTGCATCATCATGTCTTTACTTAGCCTCCTAAAACAAATACAGATACGTAATTAAGTGCACTTAAATGGTTTAACAGCTGACTAGGGAGCTTTCTCAGTTATTAAGTAGAAAAGCACAAAATTGCCGAGAGCGATGATGAATCAGACCTTTTTTTTTTTTTTTCAGTGTAACTAGTTTTTGTGCTAGTTGTAACTCATGTGAAACCCCCTTAATGTGCTAGTACAGGTCATATATAAATAAATATTTCCTATATATATACATAATAGAAAATACAGCCTTTACAACAAAAGTACTCATTAACTATAAAGCTGTTTTAGCTTCCATAGAGCAGTACTACCTCCATTTTACAGAAAAATAACAAAGCAGAAGGAGTGTGTTTTTTACTGAAGGTCAGTCGCACCCCAACAGAAACAGAAGACTGGAAGAATGCTGTTGTGCATGATCTTCACATTGTCTATGATTTCAAGGGATGGAGATTAGCTTTTCCCATTAGAGGAGAACACATCTGGCCTTGCACTACTTTATACCATGTGCACAGTTTAAGTATTTAGATTACCTGCTTTTACCTTACAAAATACTGTATAATTAGCAACTAAAGAAAATACTTGAACTGTTCTTGAAGCACTCCTAAACTGAGTGAGGTTTTTAGTAGTCAATCTAGAACAGTGTATACGAAGGAGAAGGACCTTAACTGCTTGACTAGTGCCTGTCAGAATGCTGTTAGGGACAGGAATGACTGCCTAGAACTCCCCAACAAGAGTTTTGTCTGCATATTCACACAGGCTTTACTACCTTTTTGTTTTTTTTCATTAATCACTTACGACTTCAAAATGTCTTAGATGAAATCAGGATTTGTAAGTCTGTAACCATTCCCTAAGGAATCGAACATATTTTTTAATACTACAATTCACAAGCAGAAGAAGAGTAATTCAGGGATAATGTCATAATCGACAGAGCCACTAGATAGCGTATGGACACCACACATCAGTTCCCTGTGGCATGTAACAGAGTGGTTCAACAACCTGGATTTCTCTAAACCATCACCAGTATTCTGATTACAGGAAAGGTTTGCTCGTCTCTCTTCCAACACCATATTGACAGTATGATGCTCACATTTTTATTAGTTTTTACCTGTCATAAAAATTGACTACAGCTAGGACTCATTACTGGTAATTAAATTTCATTGTTTAGGGAAACCAAATTTGACTTGAAGTGATAGTAAAGGAACCTCCATTGTAATATTGTCAGTAAAAATAACTGTGTAATAGGAAGCTTTCTAATATAAGTATCAGGCTTGGCCTGACTTCTTGACCATTTCGAGTTGACCTGTGAGAGGGGCCATGAGGTATCTACAGTGGTCTCAACCAACATTAAAGGATTCTCAAGGGTTTCAGGAGGACCTGAAGTCTTACTGCTTTTGTATTAAATGTCAGTAAGAGCTTCTGTTACTCTTTTTACGAGGCATAGGTCCAGCATGGTCTGATCAGCTATTTTTGTTTAAGGTGAAGTTTATTGCTTTTTTCTTCCTCTTCCCCATTGTGGTCTCACTGTCCATTGCACCTTGAAATAGCTGCGTAGCGTTCTAAGTTTTTAGTAAACAAAGTAGGGCAAGGATCATTGCATACCTTAGTCTGGATTATTTATTATCACAAGGAATTTGTGTTCTAAACACTTCATTAGTGCAGTTCCTCTGTCCACATTAATGGAGATTCATTTTAAGGGCAGTTATTAATGCCTTACAGAAAGTTTATCTGAAGTTACATTTTCTCTATGATAAATTCTGAACAGCAGCCTAAATCTTAAGTGCTACTACATACTGTAATGGTCACAACCTCCCTCTGCTGAACAGCAGCTTTGCATGTAGGTAGAGGGCAGTGTAACATATGACTGAAAGTCTGCTGCCAGATATGACATTTTACAAGGAATCAGCACTGCAGCAAACATAGTGTCATCTTCTGCTACTTGATCTGAGTGACTGACAGCACTAGATTTCAAGAAGACAGATGTCAATAAACTCAGAGAATTGGTAGGGAAGATCTCATAAGAGGCAAATCTAAGGGAAAAACAGATTATGGAGAGCTGTCAGTTCATTCAAGAAATGCTAATAGGAAACCAAGTGCAACCTATGGCATTTTAGGGGAAAGTAAGGAACTTGAGCAGAAGTCAGCTAATTCACAACCTTTTGATTTACCTGAAGCAGAAGAGAGAGATCTGTAAAGTAGAAACTAGGACAGCTGGTTGAGAACCCAGCGCAATACTCCATTCATGGGAGAGTGTGTGTGTGTGTGGAGTTTATAGAGTTAGTAAAGACAAAATGCACTGCATTCCACCAGCAAAATTTACCAAAATAAAAGAAATTTTACAGGTAAGGTGTTAAGAGAAAAACAAAGGGAAGTTTGGAGCAATACTCAATGATAGGGATGTGCTATCAGCAGAGAATGTTAAAGAAGTGGAAGAGTTCAATGACCTTTTTCTCTCTTTTTCATCAATCTTTACTAAAAAGGTCAACAGCAACCACACAGTGCAATTATTTAGATGGTAAAAATTCAGCCTAAAATATGCAAAACTTGCTTAGAGAGTAACCAGTTATGTTAGATGTCTTCCCGAGCCTTAGCCTGAGCAACTTCACTCTAAGAGTCTTAAAAGGAGGTTGAAGTACTAGCTGCAGATGTCACATAGCTTGAATTTATTTATTTTATTTAATTTTTGCAGGGCCTTTAGCAGTACTTCCTATAATAGCCTTATGAACAGGCTAGTGAACTGTGATCTAAATGAAACTGCTGTGGGAAGGGGCAGGAGGTCAAGTCTAGTTGGATAATTGTACCCACAGGGTAATTCCATCAAAACCTATCAAAATATGTGTGTTTTGCAAGGCATTCTGTGGGCCTTGGTCTCGGGTCAAGTTTCATTTTATGTTTTCAGTGAAGGCATAGAAGATGGAATATGAAGCATGAGTCTTGCAGATGGAGCAAGGAAGGACTGCAGATGTTATAGATGATAAAAAAATTAGAATTTAAGATGATCTTGATATATTTAGAGAAGTCATCTAAAATGGATGGAATACAATAGTACAAAATGCTTACACAGAAATACTCATCTGTACTTGCAAAACTGTGTAATTACCAGTTCACAGGAGAAAAGATCGGGTACTATAGTGGAACAAGCATGAATGGCAAAGCCACTGGGACGTCTCAAGGGTCTTAAAGACTACTGAAAGAGCCCGTGTGGCCCAATCCCCACAGTCTAAGATTCACCTGGAAGACCGTGACCTGTTCAGTGCACTGTACTTCAAGAAAGAGAGGAAAGAATTGGCAGAATGGGCAAAAATTGACAGAGGTCCAGAAAACACGAGGGAAAACTGTGAGAAATGTGGGGTTTTTTTCCTGAAGAAGTAACAACCAAGAAGAAGGAAGGTTATTAATCTTCAACTAAAAAGCTGTTGCAAAGGAACTAATATGTCCTTGGTGGAAAGATCAGGAGCAATAAAACATGAAGAAGCATAAACCAAACAGCTTGGGAGATTTAGATTAGTCACTGGACAAAACTTCAATATCAATGATAGCTTGGGATGACCTGATTGCTATTTGGTCTTGGGATAGAAGGGTGGA